GGGAAAATGGATTTGGTCTTTCATTGTTCTTTTAAGAAACTTCAGCATCAGAATCACACATCTAAACTGCTGTCTAAAAAAATTCTCAATTATTATTTTGATACTTATTTGTGGTTTGAGCAGTTAATCAAAAATACTATGCTTTTTGTTTTCAACAGGTATTGGATAAATATAATCCTCCAGACCACTTCCTTCCTGAGTCATACACTTGCTTCTTTCTGCTGAAGCTGCCCAGGTATTCCTGTAAGCAAGTACTAGAGGAAAAACTGAAGTATGCCATTCACTTCTGCAAGTCTATAGACACTGATGATTATGCCCGGATAGCGCTGACAGGAGAGCCAGCGGCTGATGACAGTAGTGATGATTCTGATAATGAAGATGCAGATTCTTTTGCTTCAGATTCTACGCAGGACTACTTAACAGGACATTAAAAAAATAACATAAGGGATAGTTGTCAAAAGCACTGAGGCAAAATGCCAAAATGACAATGAAGCCAAGGACAGTTTAGGTCTCAGAATATACAGAATATAGTCAAAGGGATGGTAATCTTCTGAACATGAGGAAAGTGTGTTTGCTACTCACAGTAGGAATTAAGGGTTACAGCTTAAACCATCAGCTTAGAATAAATGGCACAGTATACGGGCATTTAACATTTATTGTAAGAGCTGAAAGTGGCCCCCCATAATGCTGCACTACATTTAGAACCTTTGTGTTTACTGAAGTGTTGTAAATGTTTATATAAATATGGTAGTGCAGCATCCAAAAGGCAGTGAAACCTTTAAATTGTGGGTGCAATAGGTTTTTTCATATTAAGTGTTGTGTTCTGTGCATCTTCTTGATTGTATATTGGAAATACTGTGCAACAACTGAATAGTATTATAAATATTTCAATTAACTTTACTAGAAGTTTGTTAAAAATTTTTTGAACATTGGATTAACATTATTCCTTGAAATTCTTCTATAGATAATAAAAATGGCCAATAGTTTCACCTCCACCCCTGGTTTGTATATTTTAGCTTATGCATTATTTATCTCAAATTTGATACCTTTCTGTGAACAGCATCATAATTCTTATCATAGAAAGTGTACTGTATATAATTTGTGCCATGTAAATGCAAAAGTTATAATTTTCCTCCAAATAAAAGTTCTGCCACAGGAAAAAAAAATATGTGTTTTTTGATGGTAATGCAGCTGTTACATGGGACGAACATTGCAACGGCTCTACTAAGAAATGTTTCTGCAATTTACAGCTGTTGACCAAATGTTGCTGGTGCTGCTCCACCAATAGTAGGTGCGTTGCCATAGACAGAACACTTTGGAGCAAGTCTACACAACATGTTAATGGTAGTGATTTGCTACGCTTTGTTTATTCAGTTGGTCCTAATGCTGCTGTTGCCAGTAATGGTAAATTTGGACACCTGGGAAAAAAATTGCTTTTGAGGAAGTGTAAGTACCTGAATGTGATAGAAGAGTATGATAACACTTGTATAACGTATTGTCTCTGAGAAAATTAAATCATTTTACAAGGCTTGATCACAAAATATTGTGCATCCAGCATAGCCTGTTTGAATAGCTCATTGAAGTGATGTTCGGGCAGGTGTTATGTGTTTATTACTCAGTGTATGCACTAGTTTTTCAAAGTAGGAAAATAAGATTTAGTTGTGCCAAAGCACTAATATTTTACTTTAAAATCCAGTAGAAGGTGATGTCACACCATTTCTTCACTAATTGTTAGGATAGGTATTTACAGTTCAGAGTGGATTAATTTGTTTTAGTGTGTGCATTTGACTTCTATTTCAACTTCTGCAAGTTTAAATATTAACTATGTTCACGAAATAAGTTTTCCTGAGACATACTTGATATTTCAAAGTCATGGTGAAACTACCTATTAGTTGTTAAGATGTCAGAGTTTTGAAATTTGTTACCTTTAGAGGCCTTGTATTTAGTGCTGAAGATCTCTTGCAATAAATGCTGCTGTCCTGATCCTTTGTCTCACTGGAGATTCTGGAAGACAGGCCTGTGCCCTGTCCTCCAGATTTTCTCTGTCTGCTGATGAAAAACACTGAGTCTTTTTTGAGTCTTTAAAAAAGAAAAAACGCAACCCCCCAAAACCTTAAGTGACATCTTTTATCTTTGCTGCGGAATTGAATTTCTCCTGAGGGTAACAAGTGGAGAATCTAGTACAGAAGTCCTCCTGTGGTCGTCTGCTGTCCTTCCCCATGGTAACACTGGAGCCCTGTAGGCATCCAGCTTGAAAGAGATTCTGTAGTCAGCTTTTCAGGAGGTGTGATGGGTGAGTCATGCCCAAATGCCACAAGTCCAAAGGACTGAGACTGAGTTGAATTGCCGTTCTTGAATTGCAAACCCCATTTCAGGAGCATATGAACTACTGCAACATGGAGAAGTTTTATAACTTGCTTAGGAAAGAAAAAGAATGTGAGTTTCTCTTCCAAGCAAAGCAAAAAGGAAGGATCCTTTATGTAAGGAAGCAGTTTACCTTGTTGATTAGTGAACTGCATAAAAAGTTTTTTAAGCCGCCTTGTTTGCTTTTTCACCCTAACAGAGGAGTCTCGGATGCCCTTTTACAACATGAAATGTTTGTCACGTATAGCCTGACTTACAGCATTTCTGAGTAGTCAGTTGTCATTCTTGAAAAACCATTGGTTTGAGTGGTCAAAAACGGGATTTCCTCTTATTTGGCTTTTAGATGCAAATACCTAGTCCGAGAAGGAAAAGGAGTCAACCTTGCAAATGAGGAATGGATCCTTTCCCTTCTTCATATGTTACTTCCCTGTAAAACCAAAGATGAGGTTTGATTTATTATAAAGCTTTACCATTATGAAATTGTAGAAGACAGAGAAAAATCCCTTCCCATCTTCAAAATTACTCTTTGTTGCCTGGGTAAATTCCTGATACCTCTAAAACCACCTGATGGCTGCTAAACAACCTGTGAATAAGGAGAGGTCATTGAGTCCCTGTGAATAAGGAGAGAAGGTCATTGAGTCCCATCAGGGAGTTTAGGCGACATGTACCATTTATAATCATGGTATTTGTTCCTTAACATCATGTTAGTCAAAGAAGTCTTCAGGCCAGCATATACAGGTACTTGTGTCCCCTACATGCATCTTTATCAGTGGACTGTGTGCAAAACTAAACTATGCAGCCCTCTTCCTAGAAAAAACAGGAGTGGCTTCCAAAGATCTCATTGATAAAATATTTTCATTTTTTAGTTTAAAGAAAATATACAGATCTGTAGTTTCCTGTAAGTGTTGCCTTTCAAGGTTAATCTGATGAATATTATAGTTAAAAATTATGGTGTTAATTAAAACATACCACCATGCTTCTTTTACTCAACTGGGGTTCAATGATGGGAGATTAGTGGGAAAGTTGTTATATCATGGAGTCATGTCCTTACCTTAAGTGAAAACTGCAGCAACGCAACACAACTGTGAATGTGACACAAACTGTTCGTGAACTGATGCTCCTAGTACTTGGAAAAGATTCTGCTGATGTGCTGTTCGTCTCAAATGTGAATGTTGATGGTATATCTGCAAGGCACCATTCTTCAGCTTTGCATTTAGTCATCTGATGGCCGGCAAGTAAGACCGTGCAAAGATCTCAGAAACACAGAGTAGAATTGTCTCCGTTGTTTCCTGACAGTGATCATCCTTGATCAGCTCAGTCCAGCGAGTTTGGGTGTGGTGCACTGGCATCATGACCTGAAAAAGGTTTCAGCAGAAGCATTTTGAGAAGTTTGGAGGATGTGGAGTCAAGCAAATGATATAATGCAAAATCCTCTAGGATTCTTTTTTGTAAATGGGTCAGTGTTAAGTGAAAAGAAACTTAGTTCTCATTGGGCACTTGCATATACTCACTACTGATGATTAGCCTTAATAGGGACAGGGTACAGCGCTTCTAGAAAATAAAGTCCAAGATAAGAGTACACCTTCTCGTTTCACTGTGACAACTTTCTCAGTGTGTGGGGGCAAAAAGCGACAATGTGTTTTGGTCTCCGTGGTCAGCTGAGCTTTGTTGTGCTGTTTAGCAGCAGCTCGTAAGAAATTGCAAGAAAGTGTAAAATCGAAATGCATGGAATTTGGATGCTTGCAGCCGTAGGAGGCTCTCCCTTCTCGCTCCTTACGAAAAGTTTGACCTGCGGCCCAGACATGACAGTTAATGGTTCTTCCCAAACCATCATGCCATTTTAAAGGTAAGAATGACCAAGTAGATGAAGCTGTGATTTGTTTTCCTAGAAGACGGACTTTTGGATTAATCCTTCTGTGTAATGTACTTCACCACTGTTTTGAAGAAACGATGCTCTTTAGCTTCAGAAACTGATCAGTTTGAGCAAGTTCTTGCCATAATTTCCAAGTGATAATTTTATTAATGTTTGTTCTGATATGCTTGACATTTGCAGTATGAACATGTGATTTGTCAACCACAGATTATGAAACTATTCTAATGCTTTGACCTAGTAGTTAACAGATGGGCAGGCTTGCTTTGTTATGGCTTTTGATACTCTCCCTTCCTTTGTGACATTCTTTTATAAATAAACTAAGAAGACCCCTTAAATGAGGTGGAGGTAAAGCTCCAGGCAAAGTGTGAAGGTCCCTCCTAAACTGGAAAAACTTTTTGAGTAAGATTCCCATACGTGTCCTTCCTGGTTCTTCCTGCTGCTTCTCAAATTTTTCATTAGTTTCATCACATCAACTTACAAGCACCCTTAAAATTGTTAGAGAACAGGGTCCATGTCCAAAATGAAGCTGGTAGGAGATGGGCTGTCTGACCTGAGCATGCAAAAGTCAACGGATTATGAAGTGCTGTGCATCGAAGGAGGAAGAAATCCAATGCATGAAATACCTGTGCGGGGAGGCCAGGTGGGATTTGGGCTGGACTGAGTGAGTTGCTCTTCCTCCACGCTCCTGCAGAGGATGAGGGACTCCTGGCGGAGAACTGTCTGGACGGGCTGGACTGAGTGAGTTGCTCTTCCTCCGTGCTCCTGCAGAGGATGAGGGATTCCTGGCGGAGAACTGTCTGGAAAAAACCAGGAAGGAAATGGACTTTTTGTAGTGCAAATCAGGCACCTTCCGTCCTGTGATCCTGGGGGCTACTGCTCCCTGGCAGAGTCACTGACCAGGCTCCAGCCTGTGGCACTTGTGACCAGAGTTACCCATGTGGGGTAGAGCCCAGCAGCCTTTGCAATGTTTCATTTTGGAACAAAAGAAGCCATTTTAGTTGCACATGTGGATCTCCTGTACGCTGAGTCACCAATAGCAGTAGGAGAGACTGGGGGTTTAGGCTGGTGATACCCAGGGAACAACCATGTTGCCTCTGTAACTGCAGTAAAGTGACTTAATTTAATAGCACAGACCTGTCATATGATGGACCATATTCCAAGTAGCAGAGTAAGAAAATACACTGTACAACAGCTGGTATGGTCTAGAAGCCGGCTACCTGGGAGAATGTTGGTCCTCTTGGGTGCGTGTGACCTTGGCAGAGTGACAGCAATATGCTGGCATGTTTTATGTCTATTACGGTATTGTTAAGGGATGTTAAGAGTGTGGCCACCTCTTCCAGCCACCCTGGCCCAGAAGCCTCCTGCCCAGCCGCTGAAGCCCACCCTAGGGGCAGCGACATGGCTGCCTCTTTCCCCTTTACAGGTTCAACCAGTGGCGAAGCTGTCCTTGTATCCCAGAGACACCCACATGGACACAGACAGGACACTGACATGGCCAGTCCCACCCCAGCGGCTAGGGGCTAAAGACCCCCACCCGCTCCAGTAGCTGATGCTGAGACCCCACTTGTGCCAGTAGCTGGCACCAGTTGTCACTTGTACCCACGCAGACCTCACCGGTAGCAGGCACTCAGCCCTTGTGGCACATGTACATATGAGACAGAGAATGCGATCATACAGAGAGAGCATTAATAAAAGATTTAATAAGAAGACAGAAGAAGACAGGACAGACTGTGGTCATCAGGTGCAGGGCTTTGCCAGACAGGCGTGCTGGCCAGCCCTGTTTTACACATGACGAGCCCCCTTTATACCTTTTTGTGTCTGTCCCCCCTGCCCCTCCCTGCTCCCCTTCCCCTGCGTGTCCCTCATCAGCAGGCACCGTCCCACCCACCCCCTCCAACACCATGGACATCCCTATCAGTTGCAAACTCCCA